TTTCTTTGCAAAGTTATGGAATTTACACGAAGAGCCCTAAATTAATTTCTTCTTATTTCTGTAGCTTTTAGCTGACAATGAACATTTAGGGCTTTTGCTGTAAATTCTATAACTTTGCAAAGAAAGGTCATGTAGAGTTGGGAGAGGTCTCATTTTAATCAGAAATGTGCGGGCTACAATCATGCCTCAGTAACAAAGATTCCGGTTATTTTTTGGGGTTTCTGAAAAACTGGTTTTCTAGAAAACAAGGTCTTCGAAGGCCTAGCAGCAAAAACCATTGTCATATTCGAAATCAGCATAGTCGATAACCTATTCTCCAGTAGATTTCAACAAAAGAGCGAGCGGACACTTGGAACAGTTCCCTCGTTAGTAGTTTTCATATATTTTTGTGGCGCGTACAAGTTGAGATATCGACAGACTGTGTTTGATCTAAATCTGTCAGAAGCAGTCCGCAGTAAATAGAAAGCTCACCACAGTACCTTCGTTGTGATTTGTTTTAAAAGATAGATTTAGGAAAAGTGAAATGAAAACGAAATTTAAAGAAGGAAGAAAGAAACAAAAAATGAAGAAAAAACGAGAAAAAACGAACTTTAAAGAAGAGAGAAAGAAAGAAAAAATGAAGATTGAGATCAGTTACAGTCTGTCGACATCGCAACTTGTGTGCAGCGTAATTACAATCAAGTTTTATTGTCATTTTTTTGTGTTTTGAAAAACTAATAGTAAAGTCACGTACGATAAGATTTGATAGTTTAAAGTTTAAAAATCGAGAAGATATCATTTGAAATGTAAGGTAAGCATAAGGAAGAAGTAATACACATCTCACTTCTTGTTTCTATAGTCCATCGACAGTAACATGTTTCACATTCTAATCATTCTTTCCACAACGGGGATTTTGTTTGATATTGTTCATTGTCAATTGCCTCAAGGATTCGTTTATTTAAATTCAATTGCACCAGATATCCAAGTTAGTTTACGATATGCAAGTAATGAAGATTTCATGGGCAGAGTTGTCATTGGTTATAAAGCGAATGTATCAATAATGACGGAACAAGCCTCTGTGGGTTTGAAATATGTGCAAGAAATGTTGAGAAAGGATAATTACGAATTGGTCATCTACGACAGTTATCGTCCTCAAAAAGCTGTTGATAGTTTTATATTGTGGACACAAAATTTGACAGATCAAGTGAAAAAGAAAAGTTATTATCCACGTCTAAATAAACAAGATGCCGTTAAACTTGGTTATATTGCTGAAAAATCTGGACACACACGTGGCAGTACAGTAGATTTAACAATTATTCCACTTGGACAAAAAGTGCACATCATCGACGTTGTAGATCGAACGTTAACTGATGGCTACAATATATCATTTTTGAATGATGGCACTGTGGATATGGGCTCATCGTTTGATCTGTTTGATATTGCTTCACACACAAATAGCACACTTGTTAATGAACAATCACGACAAATGAGAATGTATTTGAAACGGATAATGGAACAAGCAAATTTCACTAATTTACCCGTTGAATGGTGGCATTATACATTGATTAATGAACCGTTTCCTGAGACATATTTTAATTTTGATATCCAAATCGATAATGATCGAAGTGTAGCCAACTCGATTTTCAAAAATAATTCTTTTCTCGTGTATCTTGTAGCATTAGTCTTTTATTCATACTCGAAATAATGGATTTTGTATTTATAATCAGCTTATTTGATATTATGAGTGCATATCGGTTTCTTCTGTGAGGGATGCCCGAGTTCCACCGATTCATGAATTCTACTAAATTCACGAGAATTTTAGTCTTCCACACGAGAATTCTATTTGTATGAAAGGAACTGAGAATATCTCCTATACGTTCAGTTTTTGATTTATTTCCGCAGGAACTTTACTCATGCAAGAAGGTAAGAACATCCATATCCATGAGAATTTTCTTCATTCACACAATAATCTCACTTGTTTCCACGGGAATTTCACCCCGTAAGACGAGAAGTTTTTGTTTGAAAGTGCTCAGACGTCGGAATTTTCTTTGCTCTAACGAGCAGCATAGAGGGGTGATCAACTAACCACGACATCGAGAGAAATGTTGTTTTTTAGCTCAGAAATCAGCACGAGCCGGGCTTTTGTTGGACCGGGTCGGGACAGTAAATTTTACCGAGTGGTCGGGCCTAGCCAGGCTTGGGCTGAAAAGTATTTTGGTCGGATCGGACCGGACGAACTCAGAATTTTTAAGCATGTGTGGATTTGTACATCTAATAATCTTGTATGTCCAGATCTTTGACCTTTGTATCATAATTTAGAAAAGCAAGAAAATGATGAACCCGATAGTTCTCTCCCATATTTGATATAAAAGTATATAATGCCCTGTTTTAAAATATTCTATTGTATATGAATCGATTAATCGGCGACTCCCAATAGAATGTTTTGTATCTAGTGTCTTAAAAAAACACTTTTAGGAAGAGTTATTGCAGGGTTAGTAGTCATTTTGAATGCTTTTCTAATGATATGCGAATATTTAAAAGAAGAATTTGCCAGCGCACAGTCTTATGGTACCTAGGTTGACTTTGTTTAGCTCATAATGAAAAAAATTATGCTTGGTACCCGTAAATTTTAAAAAGTGGTCGGGCTGAGCTGAGAAAACTTTCAAGATTGGTCGAGCCGGACCAGATAAATTCTACGTTTGGTCGGGCCGAGCCGGGCTTGGTCCAGAAACTTTCATCATAAATTTTCGGCCAGTGCGATCGCTGCTCACTCTTATGATCCACCTCTCCGCCTCAGAATGTCTTGGAGTCCTAATGTGCTGTACACGGTAAGGTAAGTATATTGTGTAAGTCTCGCGATGAACTTCAAAAAGCTTGATATGGCTTCTCATTCCTTTACTTACCTTAGTATTTTTTAGCGTAACATGTCTTACTGTGCCGTACCGCAGAAGGTTCTCGACGGTACCTTACGTGTCATAAAGTAAAATTCTCGTAGACTAAACTAAAGTTTTCATGTAAATGGCTGAAATTCTCGTGGAAAATAAAGTTCAACCTCCTGTTCAAACTAAAATTCTTGTGCAATGAAGAAAAATTCTGGAATTGAGAGAATGTGTACTTAGTTTGCTTTAAGTGAATTATTTATGCTTATTTGTAGGGGAAAGTTCTCGCGCAAAATATAACAGCAATCCGCATACTAATTATATCTTAGTAGGAGCCGTGTTTTGAAACCAATCCAAACATGTGGAAAAGTTACGTTTTATTGTTAAACCATCAGAGAAGACTTAAGAAGGAAGCAAATACACCATGAAGTTCAATACAAAATGAAGAAAGCGTTTCGATTGCCGATCCTAGAAGAAATTGCTCTCTCTGTCAGACAATTATATAACAAATAAAAATAAAACAGAGCAAAATTTATCAAGTTATTATTCATCATTGAAAAGTGATTAACCGATTTAACATACAATGCATTTTTTTGCTCCACCACTTTTCTTTTTTTTCGAGTTTGAGCTTTTGCTTGCTGACGGAATAGTGCTGAAAAAGAGGACAAGAAAACTAACCTTATGGCTTTTTTCTATGTATATACAGGGTGTCGTAAAAGTCACTATTGGATTAAAAATTTAAATATCTCCCCCATTTTTCAGCTAAATGATTCTTTTTTCTAATTGAACACGTTTCAAATTTTCTTTAGACGCATTATTTTTCTCGTTCATCTATAATGCTTTTATTTGTCACGAGGGAAGTCCCCCAACTGATAATTCGCTTTTTCAACGAAACCGAGTGGACTATAGGTAATCGACGATGCTGATTCCGAATACCAGCATGAATGCTGCTGCTAGGCCTTCAAAAACCTTTCTTCTGGAAAACCAGTTTTCGAGAAACTCTAAAGAACAATCAAAAGCTTTCCTAATGAGACGTAATTGTAGTTTGTAAATTTTTGATTAAAACGAGGCATCTCCCAGCTCTACATGACCTTTCTTTGCAAAGTTATAGAGTTTACAAGAAAAGCCCTTAATGTTCATTGTCAGCTCAGAGCTACAGAAAGAAAAACGAAAAATGAATTTAGGGCTTTTCTTGTAAACTCTATAACTCATTAAGAAAGCTTTTGATTGTTCTTTAGAGTTTCTCGAAAACTGGTTTTCCAGAAGAAAGGTCTTTGAAGGCCTAGCAGCAGCATTCATGCTGATATTCGGAATCAGCATCGTTGACTACCTATAGTCCACTCGGTTTCATTGAAAAAGCGATTTATCAGTTGGGGTACTTCCCTCGTCAGATGATAAGTGTTTCCAAAAACTTTCAGAATTCTTGCCTACTAACGATTAAAATTCAATAATCATTTTTTATAGTTCAAAAATGGTTCATCTGATCTTTTAGAAAAGCATTTTATGTAAAAGAACATAAAAAAATTGAACAAAATATGGAATTTGGTCTTTTAATATATTCAACATTTTATTTCAAAAAATTAATTTTTTCATCTTGCTAAACATTCAGCATAAAATCTCTGATAGAATTCTAGTTCTCAGTAGTCAAAAGTTCATCCACAATTAGTATTTATACATTTTGTACGAGGGAAACTCCTGAGGTGCTAAAAACGTTTTGAATGGGACTATTCTTAAAATGTAGGCCCTCATGGACTATGAAGAACCCCAACTTGGTTCGGGCTTAATCAGCTTTGTCGCTGAGATATCGAATTTTTACTCGAACTTTCCCCATAGGACCTAGATTTCAAGCATAAACAGAGTTTTGAATTTCGTATTGTAACGTATTGCATATTGTAGCCCAGACCAATTGTAGTTTCGATGAAAAGAGGCCGAACTGAAAATCTCTTTTCGTAGTGGTGAAAGAACTTTTTCAAAACTTGCTTCATGTTTTACCTTTGGTATCCATATAGAAAAAGTTCTTTCACCGCTGCGGACAGGGGTTTTCAGCTCGGCCTTTTTTCATCGGACTACAATTGAACTGGGCTACAATATGTAATACGTTACAATACGAAATTCAAAACTCCGTTCTTGCTTGAAATCCAGGTCCCATGGGGAAAATTCGAGTAAAAATTCGATATCTCGGGGACAAAGCTGATTACGCCCGAACCATGTTGGGGTTCTTCATAGCTCATGAGGGCCTACATTTTAAAAATAGTCCCATTCAAAAAGTGTTTTAGCACTTCAGGAGATTCCCTCGGTAGAGCTGACAATTTTCTACAAATTGACATTAAAAATAAGCAGTTTCATACTTAAAGCAGCGCTAAAATTCCGTTTTAATGATGATCCACACACAAAAAGCTTAGAGCGAGATTTATTCAAAATTCAGTTTTTGAGGTGCGGACATCAATGAAATGAATGGAATTACCTACAAAGCATTAGACACTGTGTTAGACAAGATCTGATGAGATAGAAAAGTTTATTTTCTCGCTGTTTTTAGAAGATTTTCGATGTTTCTTCACCAAGCAAAATTGTGTTTTGGTAGTTTGTGCTGTAATTTGTGCTGTCAAATAAAACTTGAAATATTTTTCTGTCAATTAAAAAAGAAGATGGAGGGAAGAGCTCATTCGACGAAAAAATGCGGCGATATTCAAATTTCTCATCCACTGGTGACTTTTAGGATACCTTATACACCCAGAGGTCAAAAAAAATCTAGTATCGCCCGATTGATCTAGATTACTAGATTTTAACTCGATCGCAGCTACTGTGTAACAAACAATGGAAATCTAGTAATTGGGCGATTACTAGATTGTTTTTATCGCAACTATCGATTTTATCGCCCGATAATCGATCGCTTTAACTATTACTAGATGCATCTGCAGACACATCTGGTTAAAAGTCCCTTTTCCAATTAATCTAGATGGCAACTAGTCGTGTATCGCCCGATTACAGATGAAATGTATCTAGATTTTTCTCATAGGTGATATTTGCTTGGGCATAAAAAGTTTATGAATTTTTCTCTAAATGAGAATAATCGCTTTGTCCAGAGATATGTTGCTGATAAATATCAGATGGTCTGATGCTTTCCGTTTTCTGTTTTCATAAAGAATACAACAGAAAATGCAAAGCTTTAAAAATAAAATCACCTATGTGTGATCATTTCTATTTACAGAAAATTTCATAAACTTCCATCAAAAAGCCGAGTTGATTTACTGTGAGTTTTCATTGCAGTAATCAAGACAACTATTCACATTTATAATAGAAAGAAAACCGATCTTAATGTCGCTGTAGCTTAGTGGGAATCCTTAGTTGAGTTATTTATACTGCATGTATACCATATAATCGTATTCGTCTAGGAGGCAGTGCATGATAGGGACGAACAAAGTTGCTCAATGAACTGTCACAGATTTTTCTCAGATTATCAGAGCAGATAGAGAAATGTGTCCTGAACATTTTGTCTCTTGACATTTTTTTTCAAAATGCTTTCCCTTGCCGCTACAGCGCTTGCAAAAAAAAGTCGTAAAATATGGAAAAAAAGCGATTTTCCAGTCGAAAATTTTGCTTATGCTATAACTCCGTCAAATCAAATGCTAATGAGCTTAAATTTTTACCAGAGCTGTCTTGCTATGAGTACTATCTAAGATAAAAA